CCGAGCTAACGGGGCTCCTCCCCCTCCTCACAGTAACTGGAGCTCCAGCGGACTGGCGGGGGTGGGGTGGGGGGTGGGGGGAGGATGCCCCTGGTGTCCTCCCTCTAAAATGTCGCTCTATTGATGTGAAAACTGGACTTCTGTATACCTGTAGAATTTATGTGCAAATTAAAAAGAGAGAAATCCCACCCTATCAACCTAGCCAGAGAATATACAATTCATGGGGTAAAAAAAGAGATACTAGATACATATCAACAGAGAGAATTCACTTAGCTCTACAAAGCTGAAATGCTATTGTGGTCTCGCAGAGTATGTACATTAAAAGTACTAAATCCATGTGATTTCCAGTTTTACAGCACCCCAAGTACTGCTGCAGCGAAGTAACACCTGATGCCAACTGATCTCCAATACCGCAGACAGACTAGCAACAAGGCCCCCACAAGGCCCGTGCCTACCGGCTTGATTTTACGGTGCTTACCTTGCACCTGTCCCACAAAAGGCACGGCTCGCTCATGGATGAATATTCGTCTGTACATTTACTCACCGGTCACCCACTCAAGGTTTTACTCACAGATTCCCTCCCTCATTCATTCATCCCTGTCTGCTTCTGTCCATGTGAGTCCCTGCTTTACTCTGGGCACTGAATGACTAACAGTGGCCAACTAGATGGCCGCTCCTACTCTCACGGAACTAATGCTCTGGGAAAGGGGAGACACAATACACGAATAAATCATAGGCCCTGGATAGTGACAGCTTCTAAGAAAATGACACAGGAAAGGAGACAGGAGGTAAGAGACTTAAGTTGCAATTATACGTACAGTGGTCAGAAAAGAGTTCCCTGAGATGACATTTGCACAAAGATCTGCAGGAAGACAGTGAGCCCCACAGGTGTCTGAGGAAAGCGTCCCCAGGGAAGGGAACAGAGGTGGAAGCATGCCTCAAACACCTGAGAAAAGCAGGCCCGGGGTTGGAGTGGAGGAAGTGAGGGAAAAAGATAACCAGCAACCCACATACTAGATACAAACAGCGCAGGAGGGCTTGGCATCCCACCCATCTGTAATCAACTCTCGGGGAAGTCTATGTGAAACAACAGCTCGGCTGACTCTGCTGGGCTGCATCTACCCTCGAGCCCACAGGGGGCACTGCAATGATGGCACATCAGACACGTGGAAGCTGGCCGTGAGAGCGTGGTCGGACCCGGCTACACAGACTCAGGCGTGAGCTGTCCTGACCCGTGGAGAGTGAAACACGTGATTTTCATGAAATACCAGTCATGTCATGCTACTCAAACAGGAACAGAAAGTCCATTTTTATGTGAATTACTAACCTTAATTGGATCAGTTTTCTAATGACAAAATCACTTTTTAAATGACAAAGTAAAATAATTAGATGAAACTGCAAATCT